TACCAAAGGCCAAGTCAAATCTCTTGGTAAAAGTTTAACTGCTTAGTATTCTCCAAATCAATGGTTCTACAGTGTAACACTCAGTATGTGAACCAAGTACCATGAAGAGGGCTAATCAGACTAAATTTCTTTTTGTAGAAGACTGTTTTCTTTCACATAGGAGTTTCAACACTGTACCATTGTCACATAGTGTGGATCTTCTGGTCACAGGATTTTCTTGAGTTGAATAGGCAGACTGACTCTGAAGCTGCTTTGTAGAAACATGATTTGAATAGCATTTGGTTGATTCAAATGTTGAGGCTTTGTCTTTTTAGAGTTGGCCAATTGAAGTCTTTTGCTTTCCAGCTTCCATTAAATGACTGGCTGAGCAGAATCTCTTACAGTACTTCCAAAGATATATCGCTCAATGCATGTCATGGATTATTTTTTTCTTTTTGTTATTTCTAAGACACTAAATAAAGATTGATATTGAGTTCCTATTCCTTGAAATAAAACTACTTTTCTTCACTCTTCTAAGAAGCAAAGATTTTATGAATGACCTGAAAGGAAAATATTAATTTTCCTCCTGGATTCCTTTTAATCTTATTTTTAAATTTCCCTAGCATCATGCACTACAAAAAAAAGTCTGACATGGTGTAATTAGGAGATATATCATCTGAGAGATCATTTCTTAATAAGCTTTGAACAGGGAGACAATTTTATAAGAATCAAGAGGAAGACACACTAGTAGACTGAATCTAATCTCATTTTGTATGAGAGGTTTTATTTCTGCTTTGTCCTGTGTTCAATTTTTCTTGTTACTGAGAAGGGGCGATTGGAAGCAATTAATGGCTGTCATTCCCTATAAAACCTCTCTCTTACGGTAAGAATGTTTCTTGGGGAAAAAGAAGAAAACCATTGCTTATTTTCAACCATAATAAGACAAAGTCTTGAGTCTGTGTTGTGCTCATGGCTTTATTGATGACAAGCAGTAAATCTGATCAGAAAGGAGAGCAAAGGAAGATAATAATAAATCAAAGTGCTGTGAGGACCAGGTAAGTTCCTGTGACCATTCCTCTTTGCAAAGATGAAATGAGTTTCCCATATATTTCAAAATCATCTGTTCTGTAAGTTTTATATCCAGAATGAATCTTAAAACAAAGTTGATAACACAAGCATTAAAATCAACATTGATTGCCACTGACTGAATAAAAATGGTATTTGAGGAAACTAAAGCTTATATATTTCTTATACACATGTGATTTTGTTTGGAGTAATATTTCTTGACCAAATGCCCTTTTGAAAATTAACTAAAAGACTCAGTAATATATAACTGTGCTGAGAAATTGGGTAGAATTCATATTTCAGTAATTGAAATATAAATATTGAGAATGCCTATTAAGAGAAAGAACTAACGATAAATTATCAGTATCAATCAGGAAATTATTTAATAGCATACTATGTTAAGTATGAAAATGCAACTTCAGAGCATGAAAACCAGTTCAATATTAGGAAAGAGTTACTTTTTATAAAGCTCTGTAAGTTATTTAAAGTTTATAGCAGTGTACTTCTACATTGTTGTACTTATGGTTTAGGCTTTTGGTGGCTTTTTATTTTGCTATGAAATCTGATTATGCTATATATCCTTTGGCTGATGTAAGTTTTAGAAAATTATTAAAATAATAAATGTATTTAATGGCTGATGTCCACTTATAAGTGAGTACATTTAATCTTTGTCTTCTGGGTCTGAGTTGCCTCTCTCAGGGTGATTTTTTTCTAGTTCCATCTTTTTGGAGACAGAGGGAACAAGGACACCAGGAGATCATGGCCCACAGAACTAACTAAGCAGGACTCCTAGGGGCTCACAGAGTCTGAAGTGACAATCAGGGAGCCTGCACGGTCTGCTCTAGGTCCTCTGCATATATGCTGTGATTGTTTGGCTTGGGTTTTTTGTGGGACTCCTAACATTGGGAGTTGGGGTGTCTCTAACTAACTCTTTTGCCTGCTCTTGGGACCCTTTTCATCCTACTGGGCTGCCTCCTCCAGCCTTGATATGAGGATTTGTACCTAGTCTTATTGCATCTTGTTATGCCGAGTTCAGTTGAAATCCCTGGGAGGCTTGCTCTTTCCTGAAGGGAAACAGGGACAATGGATCAGGGAAAGGAGAAGTGTTGGGGGAAATGTGAGGAGTGGAGGGAGGGGTGGCTGCAGTTGGGATATATTGTATGAGGGATGAATAAATAAATTTAAAAAAAGAAAAAGAGAATAAATGCATTGAGTGTCACTATTTAAATTATTAGGGCCCATTATATATGCCTTAATCTAATGAAATTTGTAAGCACAGTAATGCCACATCTGCAGTGGCTTTCCCTTACGATCATTGAACACGGCTTCCCTATGAGTAGCTTTTGGAGTTTCTCTGGCCAATGACGTTAGTTGGCCAACCTTAGCTATCAGACTAGTCACTTTGGTTTTATGTACATTTTTTTTCTTATCAGAAATTCACACCTTTCACCAGCAGGTGCACAGTTGGCAGGAAATAAAACTGCCATTGTTAGGTGTTAGGTCAAAGTCTCTCACAACACACACACACACACACACACACACTGGACACCACACTAAGCTGTGCAACAGTCCTCACTCACTATGACCTGGAAGCACCAGTACTCACACTGGTAACAACTTAATTTGGAGGGAGTTTGCGACAAACCTAAACCATAAGTACACCAAACACTTGGTCCAACCGCACCAAAGTCCTTTGAAACTCAGCCTCTGCAAGTATCTGTTAGCTGTCTCTGTGTCAGCCACCTGTAATCAGTTCGGTGAGAGTGCCCTGCTATGTCCCCAATTTGTGGCCATCCACAATGCCCACATCACCTTCCTCTTGTTTGACTCAGGTCTTTGCATTTGTCATGCAAGGAAGCCACCACTGAAGGTGAGACAGACGTTCCTGAGAGCCATTTTGAGAATGGAGAAGTAGTATTTAAAATCGGCTCATATAAAATTTACAGCATTTTCTGTTACTTTGGTAAAAAAATAAAAATAAACAAACTTAACTCCTACGTATTTATCCTTTCTCTGGTCCTTAAAGTATTTGGAAATGTTTGAATCTCTCTCGAATTTGCTTCTAATATCTGATGAGAGATGACTACATAAATTAAAAAAGAGAATAAGAGTATTAAATGTCGCTACTTGATAGGACACTTTATCCAAAGCTAGTTGATAGCACTGCTGAGTATTTTTCCTGGAACTCTGACTACTGGTGGGATTTTTTCCCTGTAACGTTTGATAGGAACTAGTCCCATGTGTACTTCAGGAATTCTTCCACCATTCCTAGCTGGTGGTGCTGTCTTCATCTCAATGCATCTTCATGTATCTTTCATCACCTTCATCTTAGATTGGAACTGATTGAGTCAACTTGGAAATAAAAGAAAGCAGACAGGCATCTCTAAAAGCACAATTGTCCCTTTAATCGGAACAACGGAAGGGCCACAGACTCACTGCAGGAGCACAGACTGTGTGCATTTGGCACAGGGGCTCAGGGTTCTATGAAAAGGGGCTGAACCTTGAGGATGGAAGAGGCCTCCTGCAGGCCGGGGGTCTCCTGCAGTCTCCAAGTGGTAGATACCAGGGCGGGTTGATCCATCGATCTTCCTACCAGAAGATTCCTCAGGGTTTATCAGTCAGCTTTCCTGTTAGGGGTTTCTCAGTCCACCTGAGGCTTTTAGGTCACTAACCTCTCATGCTAGATATCCAAGGGAAACTTCTTCGTGTTTCCAGAGCTCCTTGAATCGTCAGCTCTCTTCCCCCATCCTCTGCCCTGAGAATTGTAGCTGCTTTAGGCTCCTCAAGTACTGACTCAGATGCCTCGACCCAGTGAAAACACGAGAAGGCTTGCACTCTCCTTCCCTGATCGGCATCTTTGAAATTCTTTGCAATCCATAGAGACTGACATTTATTCCTCCTCCTTAAAAAACACTTTCCAGTGTAGCCTGATGTTCAAAGTCAGAAAAACATTATATATGTGTATATATATTACATATGAATAAATATATATACTTACTTTTGTAATTTATATAAGATAGTAAGAAAAGTCTAGTCCTTATTTCTCCATTGTAAATCAAAGTAAAAATTCACCAGTTTTTTTTAATGTTATATTGGATCTATAAATACTGTTCTAGTCATATTTACTGATGTTTGTCTTATTATTCTTTGTCTTTGATGTCATGGAAATCTTCTTCTTGAGAATTATATTTAAGCCTCCATCTCTTCTAGCTTCCAAATTTTCATTATTAATTAGTCATGTTTAATGCATTCATAATAATTTGTTATAAAAATAAAAAGTGAGACAAGATTTTAATTTTTTTATGTGGTTACACAGTTCTTCATTCATATTTGAACAATTTACTATTATCTCTCTTTAAAATAAGACATTTTACATTTGTTTTCTATAGGTATCTTTACATCTCTTTAATGGGCTTATATTTTTCAGACAAAATTTATATAAAATCTTTATATTTTATAGTATTACAGCACACATCCATGCTGAAGTTTTACTCTATCCCTTATTTTGTTGATTTTCTTGAGAATTCTCATAAGGTCTAATAATTAATTGAGCTCAGTAATTAGAAAGAGAATAGCCATTTTCTTTTGTTGTTAGCATTGTTGGATATTTTATATCAGTAAGTAATAACACTAAAAAGTTAAGTTCTAAGTTCTATTATTTTAAAGATCACATTGATTCAGAGTTGGAATTCTGTGGGTTAGAATGAACTAACGTGTGGAATTATCTAGGACCATCTCATTGAAGAAGAGGAAAGTATAGTAAAATAAGAGTCCTATAGCCAGCATCTGTCTGCTCTCCATGTCTTTCTCTGGTACCCACCATCCTACTCTCTCACTTCTTGCAATGAACAGAGAGCTTCTTTTTTCTTTTTTTTTATGTCCACAATTATAGGACATAATTTGAGGATTTGGGTGAAAACTTTCTGGCTTTAGTAACCACAATAAACAGACTGAAATCCATTCAGACTGTGTTCCCTCTCACTCCCTCTCCAAAAGGGAGAGAAGGATCATCAACCACAAGAGGCAGCTGCATGAAAGCAGTACCTAGAGCCAACTTCACACTCAGGAGAGAAGGCTGAGTCTCATCCTCATGGTCTCAGGGCTCTACACAGTCAGAGAAACTTCTCTAGTAACGAACTATAGCAATGATCCTTGCAAGTAGAGTCCTGAGAAGCTTCTCTTTGACATGTATCTTTCAAACCAATGCATGTTTGAAAAGGGAAAGGAAAAGATTTTATTTTCTCACAAAAAATTGTGTATGCTAATGCATTTTTGATAAATTAATTGAATAGTTATTTAATTGTGATATTTTCTATTTATTTGTTTGTTTATTTGTTTTTCAAGACAGGGTTTCACTGTGTAACAGTCTTGGCTGTACTAAACTAGCTCTGTAGACCAGGCTTGCCTTAAACTCACAGAGATCCTCCAACCTCTGCCTCCCAAGTGCTGGGATTAAAGGGATGCGCCACCACTGCCCAGTATAGTGGTATTTTCTTAAGCATTTCCTGTAGATATGGTCTCCACTAACTTATAAGCTTCCAACACACACACACACACACACACACACACACATACACACACACACACACACACACACACACACAAATGTATTTACATGAAAATATTTAACTGGAGTTGCCTACACTAGGGAATAATACTTTTTCTTTGAAGGTATAGCCTGAAAAAAAGTGCCAAGTGTGAGATACTCTCAACAAGCTGTTGGTCAGATTGTCCAAGAGATCCCCCACCCCAAAAAATTAGTTTTGTCATTGCCCTTTATTATCCTCTAGAACTTGATGGTAAGACCCTGCTGCTGAAGGCTCTATACACATTGGTCCCAAGACTTGGAGAAATGAAGTTGGTACTGACTAGAAAGAGTCTTTTTTGCTGGCTAGATTTTATAGTATCAATAGGTAGGTATGCATGATGCTGAAGGACAAAAGTCACCAATAGTCTTATGCAATTGTGATCCCCATGAGCTACCATAACAACCTATATGATAACATATGCCCATGGGTGATATAAGGGCACAAATGTTTGGGGGTAACCACCCACTTAAAAAATGGACTTAAGCCCTATTCTATTGAAGGAAGGAAATGTATACCTAATACTGTAAATATAGTCAAGAACCATGGTTGAAGAGCTCATAGGCCCATGGGTGAACCTACTACTACTATTTTGCTGAATGGATATAATATTAAACTGCCCTCTAAATTCATATCTGTATGCAACATGTTAGTCCAACTCTCAGACCTCATCAGAGAAGCTTCTTTGTGTAGTGCATCATGGTTAACACAGAACCTTACACTGGTCCAAGTGTGGAGTATGAATGTGGAGGGCCCAGTCGCAAATAGGACATCTGTATTACCCCTCCTGCCAAGGATGAGGGAATATCATGGAAGTTGCACTGGGAAGACTATAAAAGCCAGAGGTTGGGCAAGACTGGAGATAAACAATGTCTTCTGAGCATGTAAGGACTTCTGCCCTCTTGAACTCACACCAGCTGTGGTTGCACTCTGTGTGAGACCTGCGCACAATCAAGCCCGTTAATATTCAAGTATAAAGTGGGGAGAGGCTCATGAGAGCGACTCCACCTGCAGCTGAGGAACAATTGAGAGTCGATGGTTTCTAAGGGTAGGAAAACCAGTTTTCCCTAAGCTTTTTATCCCCTGGTAGGCTGACCACACTCCAGTAAATGACCATATATCCATGAGTTTATGGAGAACAGAAATTAGACTCAATAGCTTAAAGAAAGAAAAGAGAACAGGAAGTTGGGATGGGGTTGATGTGTAATTTGGATCTGCAAGTAGTTAGGGGATGGAAACAACATTAATATGATCAAAATACATTGATGCATTTAGAAAATTTTCAAATACTTAATAAAATGTTAAAAAATTGTCCTCCATGGAATTTGTAGCCTGCTTTTTTATTGCATTAATTTATTTGTGTATATGAGTGTGTATGGGGGGATGGGGAGGATGTGTATGCAAATACTGAGGCATAGTGGTAAAGGCCAGAGGATAGCTTGCAAGACTTGATTCTCTTCTCCCCATGTGAGTTCTGGGGAGTGACTTGGGCATTAGGCTTAGTGGAAAGCACATTTACCCATTAAGCCATTTTGCTGGCCCTAATCTGTTTATTAAGATGTCTAGTTGGCAAGCCTTTCCCCTCTGGGTGGATCCTTCCACTAAAAGAAATGACTAAATCACAAAACAAATGCCTCATTCTTTCCTTCCTAACCTCTGTTTACTCAGTAATGATTAAATTGGGTGAGTTCAGGGTGGTATAGCTGTAGACTCACTTAGTTATGAAATAATTGGATAATATTAATTTTTCTCTGAGGAAACTTTCAGCCATATATCTTACATATACACATAGTAATTATAACAGTAATTAAAATCAGGATAATTTATCATTGTTCTGTTTTGCAAATATTAGGTTAAAGTTTGGAGGTTTGCCTCATGTTTAATGGTTAAAATGTATTGTATGTTTTATTTCCAGTGTCACTTCTTCATATTGTTATTAGAGTCTTTAAGACTATGCTACTTCTGCATTACAGGTTTTATTGAGGATTCATTGTGACTGTGTTTGAGCAATTTTTATGAATAATTTGTAGGTGCTGTTTAAAGCATTTTCTCTGTAGGATGCAGAGTTTAATGTAGAGTGTGATAATAACTTTATTAAAATAACTCTCAGATTCTGTACATAACTTCATTAGTACTCAACTCTGGCTGTGCATTACAGCCTCTTGGGAGACTTTTATAAACGAATAACACCTAAGAACCATTCAAACTAACTGGAACTCTATGTTTGAGTGTGGTCTGGGTAGCTGCACACTTAGAGCCAAGCAGTGTTGCTAATATGTGAGGCCGAGTTCTCACAACCACAGTTCCAGCTCACGTTTAATGTGTGTCGTACGTTTCTTTGTTGGTTTGGTTTGGTTTTGGCCAATGACAAAGGTAGAGTATCTTACATTTTTTTTAACTCCTTTTATGTTAGAATTTTATTGCCTACCAAATACTTGTCTTTGTCTATCTGTTCAATTTAGCAGTTATCTCTTTGGTTTGTCCACCTTTGTTCTGGCTTTATCACAAAATACCTGAGACTGGGTGGCTTAAACAAACAAAAAAGTTATTGTTCCAACTTCAGAGACTGGACATAGAGAGGAAGACGCTGTCATGGTCAGGCAGCTCTGGTATGGATCTTACATTTCCCATCCTGTAGACTGCTGCTGACACCCCTTTCTGTCTACTCAGATGGAAAATTCGAGAGCATTTCTGGGTTCTCTTCAAGGGCACCAATTCCTTTAGAGACATCCAGTTGCATAGACCAATCACCTTCCAAAGACTCTGCCTCTTAATACCATCCTGTTTGGGACTTTTCATTGTGTGAATTTTGAAGGATCACATTGACCTCATAGTCACTGTAAAGAAATCATTCACAAGCACTATGCAGATGTGTAATTGATACAATATTTTACTTTTTGGGGTGTCTTTTATTATGAGAAAAATAATTCAAATCTTCTTTAACTTTTATTAATATGTTGTGTATTCAGGTTTTCTTTTAGCTTTCTGAGTTATTCTCTTTTATGTATACTTCCTGGGAGTTGTAGATTGATTTACATTTTTAATTCTATGTGCTCATCTTTTTCTTCATGTAAGTAGTGCTTCTGGATCTGGGGATCTAACTCAGTGGAAGAATGCTTACCTGGCATTTGCAAGGCGCTAGGTTCAGTTCCTAACCACACAAAAGAAAGTGATTCTCTTGATCCGTATTGACTATTTTATTAGATATACTTCTTTTCTAATATCAATTAATCTGCTATATGCTTTCTTTTTACGTTGTTTTGTTATGCTATGGCTTTGTATGTTCTGCTATCTATGTATTTATTTTATTGTTTATTCATTAGAGGGGAAAAAAGAAAATTTGAATAACATGGAGAGCAGTTTGTAAGTTGTGCATGCGCATAAGCCATTTTTGGTAACTGTAGAGCTATGCGGTATAAGCCAAACTGCCTACAGAAAACATCTAAGAATGCTGAAGTAAACTTTCAAAACAAAATGAAATGGAGGATCTGGATAGCTGCCAGGTAGTAAGGATTAGCAGCACATGGGCCACTCCTTTCCTTAGGGCACGTCCAGGTTCTAGAAGACGTGCCTGCAGAGACAAAAAGAAGTTTTCAGTAGAAATGAAGATAAGGGGGTAAATTTAGAGCTTTGTTCTCCCTAAGAAGTGGAAGTGTTGAAAAGCTCTAAGTTAGTCATACAAAGAAAAACTAAACCAGCTAAGGATTTACAGGTGGCAAGGACTTTGTTTGTTTGTTTGTTTGTTTGTTTTTTCAAGACAGGGTTTCTCTGTGTAGCCCTGGCTGTTCTAGAACTCGCTCCGTAGACAGGCTGGTCTGAAACTCAGAGATCTGCCTGCCTCTGCCTCCCTAGTGCTGGGATGAAAGGTGTGTGACACCAGTGCCTGGCTCAGAAGGCAAGCTTTGACTGGGAAGATATTGCTAAGTAAAGGCAGGTCCAGGGTGGTGGGGGAGAAATCTGACTCCCACAAATTATCCTCTGATCTCTGCATATTATCCAGGGCACCCACTCACACACTCAAACACACACATAACACACACATTCACACACTCAACACATGTTAACACTCATACACACATATGACACACATGCATATAATTAAAAATAAATGTTAAAAGGGAAAAAGAGAGAGAGAGGGAGAAAAAGAGGGAAAAAGAGAGAGAGACCAGCTTTATTTCAATAATACTAACAAGTTGTGGAAATTTGTTATCTATAAATTCCATAAAACATTACCACTGCTATAATTCCACATGTTTGACATCCCTTTTAAATTATCCAAACTTACCTCTTTCACTCTGTATTAATTCCTGCCCTTCTACATTTTCATTAGGAACCATCTTTTCTTAGTCCTGAAGCATTCTTTTGTTGCAGGCTTACTGATGATTCTCACAATTTTAGAATCTTTCAAAATATGTCTTTCCTTCTTCATTTTTATGTGTTTCCAGGTGGGCAACTGTATCCTACCAGCTATGTGGGGACACTGTCTTACACAGACGCTATTGATGAGTTATGATGCCGTCTTTGTCATGGTCCCATTGATCTTCCTTTATACTTTGCCTTTGGAGGTTTCACTATGCTTGTA